GAAATCTTCTCGTGAAGCCAGCACCGACCTGGTGAATCTCTCCGCCGATAACTGAGTTCATCCCGAGCGTTCAGCCGAGGATATTTTTTCAAGCCAACACCGACCTGGTGAATTACTCAGCGTATAACTTAGTTTACCACGAGTATCCAGCTCCGGGATCTCTCTAGGCCTAGCAATACAAAGCTAGTGACCAACCAACTTCTGCCTGAGTGGACAACTCAGGTCTATCAACACCACCAACACCTTCGGAGTCGTATCATCATCATCACTAGCGTTAAAGAAGTGTGTTTGAGCAGTTTTCAACTCCATCAGTGCTAGAAGATCCAGCGTACTTTTGGAGTTTTCCGAAATCCACTGCGAAGAGGAAACACCAAGAGATCACCCTTTCCTTCCTGCCGTTTATTTCTACAACAGCAAGTCAGAAAAACACACCAACACATTTACACTGTTCTCTCCTACACTTTTTCTCTTTCTGCCGCTGGTTTTTATCTTGGACTTTTACCATTCTGTATCTCAAGTGAAGCGTAATAAATTTAAATTCTATTTAAAAGGGAAACTCAAGGGTATCTTTCTCTTTGTGCGATAATTCCTCATATTATAACCATCGCGTACTTCAGTACTTAGTCCCACGCAATAGGCCCCACTAAGTGAGATTTATAAAATCCTTTCTCCTTCGGACACTACCTGTCGTGACTAGTTACGGTCAACTTACCTAAAGGGTTCACCTTTTATTCGATATTCCGACCTACCTAGTGACCCAGTGTCCGCTACAATGGAGAAAACGGGGAGCTTGATTTTTTAATGGAAGTGCCATGATCACTTACTAGCGAGTAGTGGACTCTGACGTGCTCGTAAAAAGACGATGGGTAGGGTTAAGTGCCAAGCAGGTGCATTCCTGGGTGGCGGATAGGGGAACGGCCAGGGAAAGTGAGGCGCAGATGGGACTGGGAACGGGTATTGAGAGGTATCCGTGCTCGGATCCCGGCGGTCCTTGTCGGAACCTGGCCAATTGCAGCTACACGAACAAACAGGGGATTAAAATCCTTATTCGGCGCTCTACGACACCGTCGCAAACCAACTCCCCAAGCTAAGGTGGGAGTTATCGTGCCGAATCAACTTGCAACACTGCAGAGCTGCGACTGCCCTGTTGAGCCGCAGCCTTACAGAAGGGCAAACAGATATGCCTGACACAAGAGTCCTGGTGCTACGAGGGCTCTGTAAAGGGCTTTGATCTAGGTGAGAGTGAGCTGTTCTTTTCTCGGGACAACCCGAGACCCAGGCCCTGCATTGTTGCCAGGAAAGCATGTGGACTGAGGGGGATGGCGAACTTCTGTCACACGGATCTGGTAGCGGTTATGGTGCCGGTGCATGCAGGGGGACCAGAGGAGGACATTGTCTTTTGTTTGGCGTATGCTGCCACCTACCCGAGAGCTGCAGGAACTCGTTAGTTACTGTAGGTCTCAAAAGCTGTCGCTCATGATAAGCTGCGATGCAAATTCGCAGCATGTTGTATGGGGGAGCTGTAAGAATAATACCAGGGGAACAGCCCTCTTGGAGTACTTAACGGACGTGGAGGTGGAGATCCTAAACAGGGGGTCCAGCCCCAGGTTTGTCACTTCCAGTGTGTCATTGACGTCACGCTGTGTCATCGCAGACTGGTGCGCCGGTGCGAAAAGTGGAGGGTTGACCAGGAGGACTCGCTCTCCGATCACCAGTGCATCAAGTTTGAAATTCAAGGCAGTACTGCTATCGCGCACGGACTCACGCGAAGAAATCCCAAGGCCACCGACTTGAGCTCTGTCAGGAGGGAACTGGAGGAAAGGCTGGATGTCGGGCACGTGAGGCCCAGCGACATCGAAAGTTTAGAGGACGAAGTGGAGAGAATCCACTGGGCCGTAAGCGATTCATTCCACCAGGCACGTCCGATCAGACCATGCAGGGCAGCAAATAAAGTTAAATGGTGCAACTAGGAACTTGGGAGACAGAGAGGCCTGGTTATGCGATTCTGGAACCGAGGGTACCACACCAAAAGTGATGAGGACTGGACTCCGTACAGGAAGGTACAGTTTAAAAATCTCATCAAAAAGTCGAAGAAATCAGCACGGAGGACATTCTGCGAGGAGCTGGAGACACTGCCGCAGGTGGCTAGGCCCCGCAGGGTCTTTTCCGGCGCACCAACACAAGGCCTGGGTGAAATATGCTACCTGATGGTGCTGATATGACCCAGCCAGATGAAATACTGGAACATCTGATCCAGGTTCACTTCCCCAAATCTGTTATACTGGGGGAGGGAATGCAGCTATGACAACGCCAAAGTCTATTGTCCTCGCTGTCTTTATTGACATAGAGGGGGCCTTCGACAACACTTCCTTTAGCATTATAGAGAGGGCGGCGGTATCTTTTGGGATAGAGACACCTATCATCAACTGGATCGCCGCCATGCTCCGAATTGGGGTGGTCCACTCTCCTTTCGGGGACAGTATGGGGAGGGCGCTAGTGGGTAGGGGGGAGTTGGCCTTGCTCGTCACCAGCAGGAATAAAGGCATACTACACCGGAAAATGCTGAAGGCGCTGGACTATGTTCAGCAGTGGTGCACCTCTCACCATGCAGACGAACGAGGCCATCACTACCTATTGGGCATGCAGGAGAATGTTTGGCAACACGTGGGGGCTAAGGCCCAGAGTCGTGAAGTGGATCGATACAGCCATAATGCTCCCACAGCTCACGTACGCTGCTGTTGTGTGCTGGACGGCGATAAACAAGGTCTGCCACAGAAGAACGGTAGAGAGAACGGATAGACTTGTGATGTTGGGAATCACGGGGGCGCTCAGGACGACCTCCACCTCAGCACTTGAGGATCTGCTCTTTCTCCAGCCTCTCGACCTTCATATTAAGGAGGTGGTGCTAATTTCGGCTGCGAGATTACGGCTACAACGTCTATGAAAAGGGGGCAGCACTGGTGATGCGGCAATCCTTACAGCGGACAGTGACCTTCAGTGACTGCTTTCCCGGGGAGGAGATACCTGCAGACCGCCAGGGCACATCGAAATGAACTTCAAGGTCAACCGCGGAAATGGGAAAACCTAGTCAGGAGGTGATAAGAAGTGGACGCCACCGAAGGGGCTGGTCTGGTACACGATGGCTCCAGAATTCGCAACCGTGCGGGAGCAGGGATTTGGTCTGAAGGACCTTCAAGTGCTAGGTTCCTTGGGCTGGACTCGCATACGACCGTGCTCCAATCAGAGCTTGCAGCCCCGAGGTTCTGTGCCAGGGGAATTTTGGACAGGGGGGCAGGGGTAAAAAGATATCTTGCCTTGCCAGAAAAATTGCGGGTAGGTAGAGCTGTATGCGAAAAACATTTTTTATGTTAACAAATTCAGTGGAAACGTGAACATGTGAATGCTGATGGAGTAATATTTGGAGTGGTAAGTATCAGTAATGCTTCATTAATATTCTTCCATCATGTATAAGTAATGATTCATAATTATTCGTTATTTGTAGACACAGTTGAAAATTCCACGTTTAAAGCCAGGTACAATTCCTTCAATTTTTCCGTGGAATTCAACAAGTGGATGGGACAATCAAAGCCATGAATCACCCTCGTTACTGGCCTCTGAACCTTGGCAGAAGATTGTCTCCCTAGATGAAAACTTTGGAGACGAATCCTCTACTGCACACCTTTCCTCAACTCAGAATGTGGCGTTATCAGTGCCTTGCTTTCTTGACGATAACCCGGATATCATAAAACAAAAACCTTTCGAGGATCTGCTAGCAGTAAATACTGCGTTACCTCCGAACTGGGTGAGAGGAGTTTCTAGATGTGGACATCTAGATATACTACATTTCTATACATTGAAAATGACTCCGAAGGAAGGATTTTTTAAAACAATAATTTGGAAGGAGATTATAATAACCAATGATTTAATGGCTCAAGTATCCGTACTTTCACAACGGTTGCAGAACAGTGGTTTTCTGAAAAATTTAGAGCGCATTCAAGACACGGACACCTTAGAAAAATTGATTGACACTGTTGACAAATTGAGTATTTGTGGGGGGTCCCGATTGCAATCTGAGATGGAAGAAACTACGTGTGAAATTGTTCGCAAAGATGTTGGTGATAGCTGGCGTCATAAGTCGTGCCGTTTACTGATTGATGATACAGGTAGCGATGCAGTTGGCTGTTGTTGTAAGCGTATAAAAAAAACTGTACGCCAAAAAATCCGGCGCTCTCTTGGAAATCCGACAAGACGTATCCGCGTGATTGTATCACCAACGACAAGACTCATGATTTCTTAGATGAGAAGAAAACTTAATTCTTCAGTGAAGTCCCTCAATCGAGCCAAACAGAGCATTCACAAGTACCAAGAGGAGCTTAAAATATGTCGTGAAAAACTCGATACTTTCCAAGAATTGGATATGGACAAGTATGAGAGACGGCAAAATCCAAAGAATCCGTCAACTGCTTTGAAAGAAATAATGGCTGCATCTAAGAAAATGAGCTCAAAAGGAAGGAGGTATACGCAAGTGTGGATCTTGCTATGTCTGTTATTTCATATGCGGTCTCCAATCGGCTACAAATACATTTATGATACCGAAATGCTCCCATTACCTCACGTTCGCACGATTCGACGACATTTATCGACCATTAAAGTCCCTTGTGGTTTCGATGACAAATTTTTCGCAGTACTCAAAACAGTGATTGCCAAAAAAACAGACATAGAGAAACATGGCATTATTCTGCTGGATGAAATACGCCCACGTGAAAGTTTGGCAATAAACTCGCAGAATCTTACTTATTTTGGTCTGGTGGATTTCGGTGAGGAGGCAGGAAAGCCTGCAAGTTTTAAGGAACTTGCTGATCACGGTTTGGTCATTATGTATCAACCTCTAGCAGCTGATGCTGCTCAGGCGATTGCAGTTTTTGCTGCAAAATCATCAGTCAAGGGAACAGTTCTTGCCCAGTTGATTGTTAAGGCCATTATTCTTTTGGAGCAAGTTGGAGTCAAAATTCACGGTTTTGTAACAGACGGGGCCAGTACTAACAGAAGATTCTGGTCTGAAGTTGGAGTTTCAGGAATGAAAAATGAGCGGCAAAACTCCTTTCAACATCCCCTTGAGATGAGTAGGCGTATCTATGGCTTTTCAGACACGCCACATCTGATAAAAAAGATACGTAATCGTTCATATAACAAGGGAATTCTTCCGGTATGCTATACAAATAATTTTCTAGACTGTAAGGAATTATCTTTCACATTCTTTTTTTCTTAAGGTTGATCCCGAGAAACCATTGGTCAAGTGGGAACATTTCCGCGTTCCTCATAAAGCTGACAGAGAGCCCTGCGGCCTAGGCCAAAAGCTTGTATATCCTCGACTTACGGCTAATCATTTAGATCTAAATAATAGTTCTAAAATGAGAGTTGGCTTGGCAGTGCAGGTATGTTCACCGCCAATAACTGCCGTACATAATGATAATGAAATATCAATTATTGAAATTTTATTGATTAGGTTTTCAGTAATTCTGTTGCCCACGGAATGGAAGTGTACAAGAGAAAAGTTGAGGAATTGAAAGACTCCGAAAGCACTGTCGACTTCTGTTGTTGGATTAACAGGACATTTGATGCACTGAATAGAACTGAGGATTTGAGCGGTGTGACTTTAGATAGCCTGGATTGTAAGGTATTATTGAAGTGATTAAATGGTCATTTTATTAACAATCTCCTTGTGCATTCTCTAGATAATTCAGAACAGTCTCAAACGCTTAGATGATTGGGGGCACTTGTTGAATCTGGAAAAATATCCCCAATGGTTTTCTTACAAAACCAACTGCAGAGGGATTACGAGTTACTCTTCACTTCACCTTGGATTTAATCGAGTTTCTAATTAAAAAGGATGGATTTCCACATGTGCTTACTGGAAGAATGAACCAAGATCCTCTGGAGATTTGTTTTAATTTACTCGAACTCAGTTTTCTTTTTCTTGCTCGTGAATGGAGTTCATTTACTTAATGTGGCTTTGAACCACAAAACCACTATTTGTCCATTTTCAGAATGGACAAGGCTGAATGAAACAACAATTTGATCTATTCTTCATTGAGAAAGCTCGTGCCCAAGACTGGACGCAGAAATTATGCATCTTTTATTCTTCTACAACAGGGTCATAGTTATCTCATTTCAGCCTTGCAGCACTGATTCACATATTTATTCTTGAGTTGTACTGATTTTTTGCATGTTCTTTTCATTTTTTCCTATTTCCTAACTATAAAAATTCTTTGGTGCGGTTCGTCAAGCTGGTGGAAATAATGATCACCCATCGACACCTAACTTTCTCCAGATCCATAAAATATTGTTCTCTTACAGTATGTTGAAACCTCCTCCTCGAACAGGGAACTGTATTGTAATGAGACACGATTTTGCAGAACCTCTCATTACCCTTGCTGAGCTCAAAGTGATTTATAAAAATCCAAGTGATGATAAATCTAATGCTATTAAAGCGAAACTTAACGAAATTGTTTTGCATGAGGACTGGGATTTCGAACAAATTTTTGACCACGATTACAGCCAACCTGAAATTACAAATTGCATGTCGTATTTTATCACAGCTGACACAATCAAATGTGTAATGAATACTGTGACATGTATGATTTGTAAGAAAGCTTTATTACACCTTGAAAAATATCCGATCCGCCCCGAAGCTCATTTTTCTGAAGTACTAATGAGGGGTCCTTTAATTCATCCTAATATTAATTTATATTGCTTCGTTCTTTTCCTGCAAGAGAAATTTGCCAGGCACTGTGAGTCAGCACATTTATATGAGGATATGCTTAATGAGATTATTAATTATCCCAACCTCTGTTTCCCCTGTGAAGAGCATGGCACCGAAATTATTTATCAAATTATCACTCGTTTCATGACAACACGCATGCAGGATTTTTGTAATCGTTTCAATGCAGAGCAAAAGAAACTCTACCAAGAAAGAAAAAAGATTGCAAAATTTTCGAAAATGTGATTATTTTACCAATAATGTATCAATTATGAAAATCTACATTTAATATATGCAATTGAAAAATTGATTAAACGTTTATTTTTATTTCCCAAATTATTTAACCATTACCCGACTTATTTTCATTTTCGATTTCGGCGCTGGGTCTGGCGCGCGAGACTCAAAGAGTGGGGGCCGTCAGATGACTCTCCGCGCCATCTGTGATGGCTTCAATATGAGGGACACTGAAAACATCGAGTAACAGCAGGGGGCTGGTACAAATTCATTTTATTGCTAGGAAAGTATAGTTCTAATTCATGACATTTACCATTTTTTTTTTTATTTTCGGTTTGAAAATAATTACGAGAAAAATGTTTAGACGGAATAAACAAAACGAAGTAAAGTTTTATTATTTGTGATTTTTTTTATTCTCTAAACTTGCATGTGATACATCTGTGCCATTTCAATTGTGCTTTGCGGAAAAATTTCATCTAATTCGTTCCGATGTGCTTTCAATTCCAAATGATGCCAAAATAATTATATATAGCAAAAGAAATATATGTTTTCTGCCGAATTGAAAGGGAGCGAGAAAGAAAACAATAAATCTTAATGTAAAAGGAGCGATCGCCAAAACCTGCACCTTTTTTTTTCATCAGAAGTTGTAAAATTGTGCAACTACTCATATATCACAATTGCTTTCTTACATTTTGGCAGAAGGAGATAGGACACGGACAAATACACTTTTTTCCATATTAAACTCGAATAAAATCATAGAAAGAAATTATAACAAACTTGAAACAATATTGAAATCGTGTGAGATATTTATTTAATAATTTCATCCAACATAAGAAAAACTGCACGGAAAATTCAGAAATTTATGTAAAAGGACAAACAAATTTATATTTCGTTTTTTTCTAAATTTTCAATTTTTGAATGGTTTTTTAAACCATATAGTTGATCCTGTGATTTTTTTTTCTGTATCTTGAAGAATGCTATGGACAAACAAAACAGTCGTATCAAATGTGATACGAAAAGCAACCATGAACGTAGGGACGCCAATAAAAAAACGGAGGAAAATTCTGTGAGACGAGACGAGTTCGAGTCGCTATGGCAATAATAAAAACATTTTTTTGTTTCTGCTTTATCGGACGGTCTTATTTACTACTCAAGATCTTGAATGTTTGATTTGATTTTTTTGATTTTATGCCTCTGAAAGAAATGAGACTACGTTGTTTTCGCTGATGAGAAGCTACGGTGAATCGACGTCTCGTCTTCGAGCCTTTGGTTTCTTTTCCTTTTCATTCATGGTTAAAGTCGGTATACGGGATATTGAAGGAGGGGGAGGGGGATAATTTGCGTTAAAGAGTAGAGTCCGTTAATAGATTCAGAGTTCTTTCTCAATCTTAATGAGCTCGGCGATACCATCGTGCATCTCCTTGACTGCTTGATATTCGGTGAGACCAAGACGTCGTTTATTCGAAATATCGTAGATACCACCCTCGGCCTCGGTATGTTCACCGCGAGTTCCGCGAACCTGGAGATTGAATTTAGCAGCGACTTCTTCAAGTTTGGCTTTGTTGGCTGCCAATTTTGGCACTTTAATATGCACTGAGGCTCGAACCGTTGTTCCCAAGTTGGTGGGACAAAATGTGAGGAACCCAAGACGATTGTCGTGAGAAAAGGGTAGACGTTTCTCAATGTCGTTAACCGCAGTTACGAGACGACGATAGACCTGTCAGAAAATAAGATAATTAACGTTAACATTTTTTAATCATAGTAGTTTAATTGTGATTGGAAACAAGTGGCATATTGCTTATGATTTTGTAGGATGTGGTAATTTTTACTAATACGTTAGCATTATGCTTCCAGATGGTTCTGTATTTTTTATAATATTAAAAAAGTAATAATTGAAAAACTTTTTGTTTATATCCATACATACATACACACGGACTTTTTCCAAAAAAGATAATTTTCGCATTTCCTAACAAAAATATAGTCGTTCTGATCCATATAATTAAAAATTTTGAATGAAACAATTGATATAGTTTTTAATGAAAAAGTTATATGAAGATTTTTGTGCTCATACTTAGTTATCTAAGCATGAAAAATTGCACCCCTAAAATCGAATGATTACAATGCTCCATTTAGACGTAAAAAAGGTAGAAGCGATTTTGTAGGCCAATTAAATTTTTCAATGAAAAATGTTGCCTGGATCTTCCGATAAATCTCATATTCTGGCACTAATTTTATACTTGACAGAGGAATAGACTTGCTTTTCCGTCAATAAAACAGTACATTTTCCAATACTTGAGCATGAAATGTACTATTAGATACAATGCATAGAGTTTACGCCATAAACAACTGAACAATGAAGGCTCACTTGAAATTTGAGAAGGCCATAAGCTATTAATTTCATGATAATATCCATTAGACCTTAACGTGACGGTAGTATTACATGTAAAAAAATGATATATCATGATAAACGTTAGAAAAAAGGTGAAAATATCAATCATTACGGAAGTTATGATTTCCTGAAAATTTCGTTTTTGCTCATAGAATTTTATTTTCCAGATAATTCTCAATAACTTATCGATTAGAGTTTCCAAATTTCTCTTTCACACATTTCCTATTTCATTTTTCTTCTTCAAAATTGCAAAAAATTTGTCAAAATACGGCTAAACGACTCTAATTATGCAGGGTGTTCGTTTATTGCCGATAAACATCTGATCCTCCAATAGATTCGCATCCCAATTTTTCATCACATTATTGAGTATATAATACTGATAATATTAAAGAATCAGTTGGCCAAGCCTATTTGGTAAGAGACATTTAACCATTACGGTTAATTTTTCTTATTTTTAATTTCTACCGATACATTTGGCAGTAAGCTTCTGAGTGGATCACTAGCTATTCCGACGACGATTTTTAGGAATAAAAAATAATTTCTTCATATTTTTCTTCGAACACGTGCGAAGATCGGATAGCTCGTTTTGGAAATATTCAAGAAAATCGTTGAATATGTCCTAACCGAATTATCCGATCCAGTCAATCTTCAATACCAATCATTGTAATCATCAGAAAAAATTTTCAGCTAAATTTCAAGTTGACGATGAAATTCAACAAGGTCCACCGCCCTTATCATAAGAGAAAAATATCGTCAAAATCTCAAGATGAAATGTCCATTGTTGCGACAGCTAGAGCGCGTACAACGATGTGTCGGAAAAAACTGAAAAGTGCAAATATCTAGGAAACTTTGAACCGACGGCTATACACGTTTTGATTGATCTAGATGGAGATCTAGGAACCGAGATGAACATTTCGAAAGGAAAAAAAGTTAAATCAACACGCTAGTTTTCCGAATATTTGCAAAAAACGTTTGAAAAAAGAATGGCTTTTTCTCGGGGACTATTGGACCGATCAAGTGAATTCGGCGATCAGAGATAGTTCTGGTTATGACCTATGATATGACAAAATTTAAAATGTTTTCGATTTTTGTTTGTCCTCTAGTTGAATTTTCTAAAATTCAATTCTCTAAAAGTGGCGAAAGGGCCCACAGTCATTGTCGCCAAACTCTGTATTTTGACGTTTCAAACCATTCTGTATAATTTCTAACGAAAATTAGAAAATGTCAAAATCGGACGATTGCAAAGCTTCCATTCGCAAGCAAAAAACGGAAAAATGGCAATATCTTGACATTTTTGCATGAACGGGTATACATATTGTGATTACTCGATATAGTGGACACTGGGACGAGTATTTTGAAAAAAAAAAAAAATGAAATGAATGGTTCATGAGATATTCAAGGAAATACATTCATACAAAAGGTGTAACATCTCTTGAAGCGCTTGGCCTTTGTTATGAAAGCTACAAGTCTACAAAATTTCAACGCGCTATCTCTATTTTAATTTACCACGTTCAGAAAGTTTACGACGATAAAACCGACAAACAGCCGATATCACGAAATTTCATCCGAGCAATAATAAATGTTTTGATTGATATATATAGGGCTTATTGAGATAAGCATTTCTAAAAGAAAAAGATTGGAATTCTCGCCATAGTTTTTGGGATATTGAAAAAAAAAACAAAAATTTAAAAACTTGTTATATATATCTCAGGAGTTGCTCTACCAATTGAGTTGAAACGGCACGGTCAAGTGGAAGTTAATTAAAAGTTATTTCAAATTTTCGAAAAATCTATCATCAAAATTATGAATTTCCTAGTACATATTGTGATGTCCAAAAACCTATATAAATAGTTTTTCCTGCAATTTCATAAATATTAAATAACTTTTTCAATTTCATAAATATTAACTACTACAAATACCTTCATTAAATATTAAATTCTACTTTCAATAAATCAGTCCAATTTCACCATCACGGAAATAAAAATGCAAAATCATCAAAAATTGATTTCACCATACAGGTGAGTGCATTCGCCTTTGCGCCAGAATGACACATGCCAGGGCAGTGAACCTCACCGGCGAAATCACGCACTATTAAAATTGCTGAATTGACAGGTCAATTCCCTTCAAGAATAAGAAGTGGGAAAATCACACCATAATTTCCACCAATTAAAAGTCAATTCGTGTAACCACGACAAACCGATCCGCTCTCCAAAATCCAAATTACAAATGAGTCTAGAAGCAACCGTCGGAGCGATAATTTGACTTGGTGGAAATTACTTTCCGGAATCGATCTGTCTCTTCTGATCCTCCCATACTATAATTCGCAACTGATTTGATATAGTACGCGGTAACCTATTGAATAATAGTAAATAGCTAAACGGACTGAAGTGTACAGGGATACTGCATCCTTGAATCGAAAGTAGGAGTGTTTCTTGCATATTAAGAGGACTAATTCATTAGTTTCCGTGGTTGTGGACATTCTCAAAACTCTTAAATTTTGTTTATTAATTATAAGCGAGTGGGTGAACGTGGCAGAATAAGAAGTATTCATAATAGGATCAGAGACTACTCTCATTCTGGTGAAGAAAGACGATTGTGTCACCGAAGGATCCACGCCTATCCATAAGAAAGGATTACAATAATAATACTGCTCAACTGTGAGTCTCAAAGAATTAGTTTCACACTTTTCAATTCCAAAGTAATCAGCTATCAAAATCTATAAAGAACTATTCAGGGATGAATATTTAATCGTTACTACCTTTTTGTTAAATGAATTGTGTTATACATAAAATTCTAGATTCAAACCAACACTTTTAATTGTATTTCCAAAGAGTTTAGAAATAGAAGATTACTTTTGAGCATAAAATTTCCTCGGAATCATTTGATTATTCTTAATACCTGAATTCCTATTCCTATTTCAATATTTTAAATTAACAACACAATCAAGGTAAGAATGAAAACCAAACCTAGCGTCGTCCAAATCAAACGTAAAATATAAAAATATTTAGCTTCATTCAACATTTCTAACTTAGCTTTTCCATATTTTTATATCAAAAGTTCTAGTTCTTATTTTCCGGAAATAATTCTATTTCACAATAGTTGTCCTCCGACGCTGACAACGTCTCCGGACATAACAATATACACAGACATAATATAAAAACATTATTTTTTCTCGTCTCATAATATTCTAGACAACTTGCAAGAAGGGAAAATGAATAAAGAAATTATATTTTGAAAACAAGACGCATAAACATTTCAAAAAATCAGAGGAAATGTTTTTCAACCCATTTAATCATATACAATTTCGCGGTCAATACTAAAAGGAGTCAGGGTTAGAGCGTGAAATACCCTAAATAGATCAATAACAAGAATAAATCGAGAAAATTTCGATTGGAAAGATTTGCTCGCAATTTACTTGCAATCGATTTATTTTTTATTTTTTTTTATTTTTACATTTTTCCTTTTCCTATTACCATTGTTACCATGGTTTGATAGGCGCCCCTTCGTCTTAGCCTTTAGCCTCTCCTACTATCCTCTCATTATTTTTGCGGTAGCATGGGCCGACTTTCTGTACTGCGCCCCTTTGGCGTGTACTGAGGGAAACCATGTAAAACCTCAGTAGCGCAGCCGGCCGGTACTGCGGGGATTCTGCTGTGTTCATCAGTCACACTGACTCGGTGAACACACCAGCTCTCCGCACCCGTGCCTGACGGCGTCAGTCTACACGCCGATGGGTGTGACTAAGCGGGCACCCATCCAAGTACTAACCCAACTGAGCGTTGCTTAGCTTGGGTGATCGCCGGAGTCACACACCGCCCGCGTGGCTACTGTCGCCGCTTGCAATTGATTTACCGACAAGCCGATAGAAATTCGATTCTAAAATATTTCTAGCTTGAATCGACTCTCAATCGACTTTCAACAACGGTACATACTTCTATACCAAGAAGTATAACCATAAGTATTAGAAGAAGAATCGACTTTGAACAGACTCAATTTCATTTGGATTGAAAAAAAATTCTTATAATCTATTTCTAATCGACTTAGCCGACAAGTTGATTGAAATTCGATTTTGAAACATTTCTAGCTTGATCAAATCTCAAACGACTTTCGTAAAGCTCGGTTTTAATGTAATTGAAAAACTGTACATTATTCATTTGCAATCGACTCACCCATTAGTCGATTGAAATTGAATTTTAAAAAAGTTCCAGTTTATCTGGACTGTTAATCCAGTTGATTTTATCACGGTTGAGCGACCTGCTCGATATGACAATCGATCGTTGATCAATGTCAATCGACCAATCGAACCATTCAATTCTTGTAGTTAATAT